CCCCAAAACCCCAAAACCCCAAAACCCCAAAACCCCTACTAGTAAGAAATACTAGAGAATCTAATAATATTAAATAAATATGCAACTCAGCGGAATCGGGTCAAGCAACCACACTGGGCTAAACGATCGAAGAACCAAAGAGAGAATCAGAGAGCAGTTAATTATGGAGTTTGGGATTGACGACTCTGGTATACCGCCTAGCTAACCTCTAGACGCCATTGATAAAGCTCTTATCCAAAATTATAGAAGAGTTGCTAATCAATATCAAGAATTCAATAGCCAAATTAAAGCAATGAAGGAAATATTGTACTTCTTACCTAACTCTGTAGGTTGTGGCAGTACAATTGCAGCCTTAATGGCCAAGCTGCCAACCCAGTGGAGTTGCCTAATATTGCTCCTAGTTCTAAAAGCAACAATACTTTGAGGAGTAATAGAATAATGGTACGAAGCTCATTCAAAAATTCTGTCTCTCAAGTTATTATAGATGGGGCCTGGAGTTAAGTTAGGAGCAAGGATAGGTAAGTTATCATCTTGGAGCAATTACAGAAGCTGCTTTCATAAAGTGAAAATATTTTAAAAGATAATAGGACCTCTAAATATCTATATATAGAGAAAGCATCAGACCCGAATCTGTCAAGGAATAGCCACACTGCAAACAATTCGTTCGGTAAGAATAAATTTTTATTTTTAAGGTGGAAGTGCTCAAACTATGACCCAGAATGGAATCTCAAATATCAAGATAAGGAAGATAAATCAAAGAGACAGGACTCCGAACCCAGAGCCCAAGAGATATATGCCAGTTTTGCCTAAATAAAGGTGTCTTCAATGAATGGGGAGCTGTTCTCAGACATCAAGATGAGATGGAGAAGGAACAGGAGAGACAAGAATATGCAATGAACAAGGTATGAAATCCACTATAATTTTAGTTAAAACAAGAAGAGTATAAAAGATCACTTCAGAGCCAAATCATGAATCACCAAGCCCAGTATGTTGGCATGGTTGGATCACACAAGAATCAAGACCAAGAATTTGTACAGAATCAGTGGCGAGCAGAGCAAGAGAGAGTCAAAAGAGAGCATGGTAATTCTTCAAAACTTATATTCCTAGCCGAAGATATTAATAAGAAAAATCAAGCAATTGAGCTAGCAAAAGAATCTCTCCAAAAGGCACAGATTCTAAAGAGAAAGGATCAAGCAGTAAAATTCGCTGAGGACCAAGCCATCAGAGACCAGCTCAGGAGACAAGAAGAGGAAGAACTCCAAAGAGTTCAGACCAAGAGAGCAACCAAATTGATGGACCAAGAGAAAATGAAGCAATTCCTTAATGTTCAGAAGAGTATGAGAACGCAGAAGGAAAACCGCTTGCGAGAAGACGACAAAATGTTTGCAAAGATCGGGATGGAAAAAGAAGAGCAAGACTCACTCAAGAGGAATGACTACTTTAAGAAACTCCAGCGGTTCCAGGATATTAATGATAAGAAAACAGCTAATTTGATAAAGTACATGCAGTCAGACCCTAGAGTGAGTGCAGAAGAGCGGGACAAGAAAATGTATCTCCAAGGCATCAAAGCTGAGGAGAAAAGATGGCAAAAGAGGGATAATGATGAAAGAGTCAGGAAGCAACATGACATGGAGGTCCTCAAGGCAGGTCTGAGCACCCAAATCAATGAAAAATAAGAATACTAGTCTTGTTAATCAAAGAATGGAGCAGTTCTATGGGAAACAACTTAAGGAAAAAGATGAAATTGAGCTTAAAAAGCAGCAGATTGAACAAGAGAATTTTAGAAACCAACAAAGACAGTATATGAAATCTTTGAACTCTCAGTCTAAGGAAGTTAATAATAGGAAAAGATTTGAAGACATGATGACTGATCAAGAGAGAATCTTAAACAACAAAGACATAGAAGCTTATGAAAAGAATGAAATGGTGCTTCATTCAAATAAAATTGGATTTAATGCTCCAGCAAGTGAAACTGCAATGAAGCAGTTAAGTCAAAACCCTTATGCGAACAGCAAAAGTTTTGAAACTGCCAAATTAAACCATGCTCACAGAGGAACCCCTGATCTTATCGCATCAGGAATTGGGTATGATCCAACTGCACAAGGAAGGTATATTAATCTAGCCATTCGTCAAGCAGATGCTGCTGAAAAGTATGGTCTCAGACCAGTGATCTCCAATAAAGCTTATGGTGGGGATATTCCATCAAGAAATCAGTCAAAGTCTCTTGCTAATAAGTTCAACTCCCACACAGTGAATAAAAGCTACGATTCTGTGAGAAATGCTGGAGAGGGTATAATGAAGGGATCAATGACCCCATATGGGAACAGAAAGCCATCTCTGCAAGGCATTCCTACAACCCTCTCGATTCCTAATCAGGTCAACCACCAAATGAGTCCTAAAGTGCAGTTCCCACAGATGTAATCAGTTGCTACAATTTTTATGAATAAACATTTTCAAACTTTTGAAAAAATTGGGGTTTTGGGGTTTTGGGGTTTTGGGGTTTTGGGGTTTTGGGG